ATCTCCCCAAAACCCCAAAACCCCAAAACCCCAAAACCCCTTCAAGCTTATTTAGCATTGAATCTAGGAATATTGCTATGGCTAATTGTTCACGATTCTCTTTAGTCTCTCGCTGAAGTATTCCAGTTCAGGGTCTCTGGTGTTCTGCTTGATCACAACATTTCCGTAAGGAGATCTATGGGGTTAGGGACTGGCTTACGTTGTTTTGTCCTGATTGCTCACCATTTCATCTATCATTTTCTGTTTTTCCTTTAGTCTCTTGGCTTGTTTTTCAATTTGTATTGTTGAATTTCTGCATTCATGCTCTAAGCTCATCAATTCCTCCTCTGCTTCAGCTATCTGAAGTTGAATTTCTTCAATCTGTTCGTATCTCTGATGATTAAGAACTACTTCTTGCTCGCTTCTAGAAGTTTCGAGTTCTCTTTGAAGTTTGCTGACTTTATATCTTCATTTCTTCAGCTCATCTAAGGAGTCATGCTATGATTCCCTTACCGCCAAGTTTGTCGCCTTCCTTAATGACGCTATTAGCCTCTTTGCCTAGAATCTTCTTGATTCTATATAAGGTTTTGGAGGAAATTACCTGTCTAGTTCTTTCTTGATAGTATTATTTTCAGAGGTATTCTCTGAAGCTTTCTTCTTTTCGGCCTCGATTTCCTTCTCTAACTGTTTTTGCATCCGGGCTAAATATCAGGAGGAGCCTTACTCTCTTCATCAAGCTCATCAAGAGTCTCTGTTAAGTGATTTCTTAGCTAAGAGATAAAAGGGGTATCTTACGTAAATATTGTCTTCCTTGGCATCTTTCTTTTGCCTGACTAAGAGAGAAATGTTCTCGAATGTTTTATCCATTGATTCTTCCCAATTGCCTTGATTTCCTTCCTCATTTTCAGTAGGTGTATAGTCCTTGAGTCTACCATTTATTCTGGTCTGGGTTTTTCTGAATGGCTCAGTTCTAGAAATATTAAAAAAGGTATCTTACGTTGATTCTCAGATCTTACTGATCTTATCTTCTTTATATCTACTTGCTGTTGAATAGAGCCTAAAAGCATTAAAACCTAGGATAATACATTGATTTAGGACCTCTGACTGATCTCTTGGGTGTAACAAAGGATGATAAATAGTCATTTTGGGCTTTCTTCGTATGAGTAGACCTCATCCCTACACTTTTCATTGTCTTTTTAATTGAAATTCATCTGACTTCTCAAGTTCTTTGATCTAAAGTACCAATTAGCAATGAGGTTGCTACTAATAAACCTACCCTGAAGTTCCTTTATGGTCTTCTAAAGTATTGTCTGAATTATTTTTGACGATATTTTTGGTAAGCTCATTACTCCTTGTTCCTACTTGGTTTAACAAATTAGTAGCCTACTATCATTGGTGGTCTCCTCTGTTCTGTATTTTTTCTCTATAAATAGATCGGTCAGATCCTGAACTGGGAGAGTTACAGGTGCTGTCACACCTTTTTAGGCTAAATTTACCTTCAATTATGGGTAGTTCGTTTACTTTTGATACTTCCATTTAACTTTTTCTGCAAATATATTATAACAATCCAATTTTTCACAATAAAATTGGGGTTTTGGGGTTTTGGGGTTTTGGGGTTTTGGGG